ACAGATATATAAATGTATGAATATGCATAAAACATTCCCTTTTCACTCCACATTGCTTCAATTTTTCATTTACGAAAAATACAATATTGCACATTTCAAATTGTCATCACAATCGCACTTCTTGTGCCTTGAAATCTTGGATTGTGATGGTCTCTGAATCCTTACGCAATCGTTCTCAAAATAGTTTTCGGCTAGCTTAGAAAACAAAGGAAAAAGATAAAAAAAAAATAAATAAACGTTACTCTCACTCATGCTTTAACTTGAGAGGTTTGGGAATCCTCGGATTTGCCTTCGTCTTCTTCCCTTCTTCCTGTGCTACTAGATGCATCGGCTGCTTCGTTTTGGCGACCCAAGGGGGTGGGAGTGTCCCTTTTGGTTCTTGACTTGCTCGGAAGGCCTGATTCTGACCATGCTCTGTCCTGATCCAATGGGCTACTTTGCACGTGCACGACTTTTTTAGACTGGAATGCCGTTTCCATGTCTTGCAGAGTCCGGCCCTTGGTCTCGGGTACGAAAAACAGGACCAGTAAGCCGATGACCAAGTTTGACGTTCCGAATACAAGCAGTGTCAGTCCGAGACCAAGGGATGATATCACTTTCAAAAACACGAAGTTTATGGCAAAGTAAGTTAATGAATAACCAAAAGTGATCATCGAAGCTCCAATAGACCTGACAGGTGTAGGTAGAAGCTCGCCGAGATAGACCCACGGAATGGGTCCCAGACCTATACCATAACTAATCACGAACACTATCACGGACGCCAGGGGGACCCATGGGGCCCCTTCCACTTCTAGGAAGAGGAAGGCTCCGGCGACGCCCTCCGACACTGCGCAGATGACTGATGTTGCCACAAGGAGGGGCTTGCGACCCACCAGGTCCAGAGTGCAAGCAGACACACAAGTGCTAGCCAGGCGAGCAACACCGACGAACACTGTGCAGTAGAAAGCATCAAACTGTGCTCCTGCTCGACGGAACACATACACTGTATAGTTGAACACCGGTCCTTTGCCTCCGAGTTCTCTCAGGACGAACACACTTAGCATTAACACCACTGGGATGGCGTTGTGGGCCTTGCGAAGCTCCCTCGCCTGAAAAGGGAAAGGACAAATCTCAGTTTCCTCTCGCTTACCACACTTTCTGTGTCTACCTCTCTTTAGTGCTAAAATGTAAACCACGTGACGTGACTGGGAATCGTGTGTGAAGCAATTAATAACCATGTAAGTTCCCTGTTATGTTAATTCTTACCTGGTCCTTGACTTCGCTCTGCTTGAGGGTCGTTGTGCTCCTTATTGCCTGCAGGTCTTCAGCGACATTGCCGTCACGACCTAAAAGAAGTCTCAAAGATCTCTCAGCTGCATCGATTTTTTTCTTTCTCACTAGCCAATAAGGAGACTGTAGAAAAGAAATATTCCTGTTTAGAAATACATTCTTGTAAACAGATGCATTAACTATTTCCCAATCTAGGATCGGATATAGAAATTTTGAGGCTGAAATTCCAGATGATAAAGCGTTGAACAGGAATGGAATTCCGACAGACCCAGCTGAAGTATTCCCTATTTCCCTTTTTTGAAACACAAGAGAGACAGACCTCTGGTACAAGCAGTATCATCAGTGATAGGGGCAAGAAGGGAGCAGCGGCAACAGCAGTAGCCATGTCCCAGGACAGCAGAGAAGCCAGCAGGTAGGATGCCAGCAGTCCAACGCAGCTAAACAGCTCTGGCAAGACCGAAGCCAGACCTCTGATCCTTGGGGGGCACAGCTCCGCTACCAAGGGCTGCACCACTGTGTACATCACCGCAGCAGTTGACGCCAGGAGGGCTCTGCCGAGGTACAGGAGCCACAGGTAAGGACTGAATGCCTGCAGGAGCCAGAACCCAGCCACAGGGAACATCGTAATGACTAGCAGACGCCGCGGTCCTATGTGTTCCGCTACGGAGCCTGCCAGAGGGGAGATCACGAAGCCCATAATGAACGTCAGGGATACTGGAAAGGAAAACTAAATTGTAAAAGCAAATCAGAAACCACATCGTCGGTTTGTAACTTCATTCAATATGTATCATTTAGATCACCGTCGGCCTCCGCATATGAAACACAAGCCTCACGCCTTTTAAGGAAGCTTAAGAAAACTTAGACAATCACCAAGCCAAGATACATCGTCCTCAGTCACCGTGAACCTGGTGTCCTCCTGGAGCTTTGGCAGGACTGCAGTCCACCCGGACATCATGCCGTTTAGGAAGTTCGTGCCGCTAACCGCAGCCAAACAAACCACCTGTTCGTTGGTATTGTGTCGTTTTGAATCTCAATGTAATACGAAATAGCAATCTAAGTTAAACCGATATACCAGTCCAGTAAATATTACAGTAAAAAGGGTTTGTTGTTGCAAAATTCCAATAAAACTTGACTGTGCCTTGTGTTACTGCAGTCATGTATGGTCAGTGCACCCATTTGTAGAGGCACAAAATGGCTTTAGAAATCATGAGATTGGAGTGTTTTTTTTTTTTTTTTTTTTTACCTGTCTTGCTGTTAAGGGAGTCTTCCCATTCGCGGGTTCCTGTTTCCTGTCTTCGCTCTGACTCTCCATTCTGGTATTAGAGAAAGAAAATGTTTGAATATGATACGGTCATACGTATGTGGAAGGGAAAATTAATGTATCATCTATTTTTGTGTTAACTGTGTTATCATGTATTATATTTTCCTATTATTATTACTAATGTTATTATCATTATTGCTAGTAGATTCAGAGATAGTAGTAGATGTACCACCAGTACCAATGGTAGTAATAATGATGGTGGTAGTAGTAGTAGGTAATATTATTATTATCATGACGATCATTATTATCTTTACTCTCCTCTTTCCTTATTACCAAGAACAATGTTATTGGCATTCTATTACTGATATCATTGTTATAATCATTATTAGCGTTATGATCATTATCATTATTATCCCTACCATTACAATCATCATTATCATTATCATAACCAGTATCATCAAGACCATCATCATTAAGACCATCATTATCATCATCATCATTATCATTACCATTATCATCACCGTCACCAAAATCTCAGCACGGCGCAGTTAAAATTGGGCAATGAAATCACTGTCGTCCTAGATAAAGAAATATGCCATTATTGAAAGCCTCTGCCAGCATAAGCGAGTATGTTTATTATTAATAACTGCCTCGCCATATTTGACTTAGCTAGCGTTACGTTAGCATAGATAACTTCGTGACGTTAGTCTGTTACCATTTCGTTTTTATGTGAAATTATTCAGCAACGAACAAATATGATTGTTTCCTATTGGCTTATTTCATGTAATATTTTTCGTGGAGATGGAAATTGGATGCACAGGTCTCGTACGCGCGATACACACACATGCACGCACGTACACACACGCGCGCGCAGATACTGTTTTCCGTATATTGTGATGGGTGAAACACTGAATTTTCCAACTGTTCCGACCCCATAATATATGACTATTTTAGTTTTTTGTTGAATGGTGCTGGGATCTTGCATATAGATATAGATTATATCAGTGTTATATCAGATCCAAACTTGATTACATTACATTTTTTTTATCTAACGGATGGCACGTTAGATTATGCATCAAAACTTCCTGGCCATTGTTGAATCGAATTTACCTCTCAAGAAATGTAAAGAAAATCAATGTAACACTGTTTTTCAACTAAGCTTGTCCTACTGACAATAAAACCAAAAAAGACACTAACAGCAAAAACTCCTTTGATAATAACTGAGCAGAAATTATATACAAACGAATAGATAAATTAATTAAAAAAAACGGCGAAATACTTACTTGCTACTAGGCATTCACTTCTCACGAAAGGTTCACTTGCGGGCGGCACAACATATATATGCGTCCGGTCGTTGCCATAACGCGCTATCTTCATCTTGTTCTTCCTGCGTGTTGCCCTCCTCGTCGGGGGGAAAATCTCGAACACTGCTTCCTTATCGTGTAATCGTCATCTATATATTTTTTTCTTTGTTGCGTGATGATAACTTTGTATCGTACGTCATCTTCAATATTTATATAAACGCGGTTCGGCGCGCTACCAATTATGCAACGGCAGCGACTTCCCCTTCGACACCTGCGTTAATTTTTCAAAGCGATGTGTCGATATGTCAAATTAGCAGTCACACACACACACACACACACACACACATATATATATATATATATATACATATATACACACACACACAGTATATATATATATATATATATATATATATATATATATATATATATATATATATATATATATATATATATATACATATATATATACATATATATATATATATATATATATATATATATATATATATATATATATATATATATATATATACATATATATATACAGATCCAGGTTCGAAGGTTCGAGTCCCGGCCGGCGCGCTGTTCCCTTGGGCAAGGAATTTGACCTCGGCGGCCCCGAAGGAAGGCAACGGGAAACCACCTTCGTACACTCCCTTGTACAACCATGAAATTAAAAAAAAAACATGGTCGCCAACGTCAGGCTCTGATACGGCACAAAAAACAAAACAATATACATATATATATATATATATATATATATATATATATATATATATATATGTATATATATATATATATATATATATATATATATATATATATATATATATATATATATATATATACAGTATATATATACATATATATATATATATATATATATATATATATATATATATATATATATACATATATATACATATATATATATATATATATATATATATATATATATATATATATATATATATATATATATATATATATACAGTATATATATATATATATATATATATATATATATATATATATATATATATATATATATATCTATATATATGGATATATATATGTATATATTATATTATATATATATAATATCTCTCTCTATATCTCTATATATATCTTCTATATCTATATATACTACCCTATATATTATATATCATATATCTCATTATATATCTCTCTCTACTATATCTATATATATCTCTACATCTCTCTATACCTATCTCTCTCTTATCTCTTCTATCTATCTATCATCTCTTCTCTAATCTATCTATGTTATCTTCCTGTCTCTATCTATATCTCTCCTATTATATTCTATCTCTATCTCTTCTATCGTCTCTCGATGTCTATCATATCTGTATCTTCTCTCTATCTACTCTCTCTATCTTATCTCTCTCTATATCTCACTCTCTATCTATCTCTCTATTACTCTTCTCTCTCATCTCTCCTATCTCTATCTCTCTCTATATCTTCTCTCCTATCTCAATATTCTCTATTATCTCTTATATCTCTCTCTATTATATTTATCTACCTATATCAATATCTATATATTCTATTATATATATATTATAATATATATATATATATATATATATATATATATAATACTGCCGTGATTAATTTCATGTTTACTTGCAAACGTTTCAGAGATAAATCATATCTCCATCATCAATGCTGTAATAGTGAACCAAAAAATAACGTGCATTAGACAAGAGAACAAGAATGATTAAAGAGGTTCTCTAAATTAAAATTGGTAGTGAGACAATTCAAACAACAATAAGATCAATAATTACAACAAAATGTGACCAAAAGATAATACAGATATATTAGACATACGAGTATATAAAATGAAGAAAAAGGAAAGGGGTCACTGCCACCACCCGATTGGTACGTTCGGAAACGAGTGTATGATGTAAGAAGGGATGCAATGTCAGAAGGGTTGTGGAAACGAGCGACGGAAGTGTGTGTGTGTGTGTGTGTGTGTGTGTGTGTGTGTGTGTGTGTGTGTGTGTGTGTGTGTGTGTGTGTGTGTGTGTATGTGTGTGTGTGTGTGTGAAGTGTAGTTGTGCAAATGAGCCGAAGTGAGGTAGGCGTGGTTAGAATCCCGGGGAGAGGCGTGTACAGATGCTTCATCTATACTTTAGGGTTTTTGATTGTTGGCCTTGTTAAACTTGATAATAAAATGATAATGATGATAAAATTGTCTATTTATTTTGTAAAAAAAAATCTAAAACAGAACATCAAACGAAACATGGCATTGTAAAACAAACACTAAAACAGAAACAAAACGGACATAAAACACAGTAAGACACAAACACTAAAATGAGAATACCTTTTCTCGCGTATAGTATGACTTAATCACTTAGCCGTTTTATATTGCCGAGCCCACCTTATTCTGTGCACCACAACCATCTAGCACTCTACCTGGCCTGGACCTCGAACTAAACTAAGTTTTGGTCTCAAGATTTGCTAAATAGTCACAATATACATTAAAATTCTTATTATAATGATAATTTCAATATGTTTAAAGTGGTCTTAAAATGAATAAAAAAATATGAAATAAATAGTAAAAAAATACATAAGAACCATCGTATACATAAGTTTCCTTAAAAATCCATTTTTGGTGGTCTCTTTTTAAAACAAAGGTCCGTGTAAAACACAATGTAAAAAGAGTTTATTAAAATACACACACAAAAAAAACAACAACTAAAACAAATAAATCAGTAACGAGGCCGCGCAGGTGAGTCGCTCCAGGTATGCTCCCCGTTTTCTATTGCCAGCTTCCTCACCGCGCCGGGCATCCTCACCCCCGGGGGATAAAAGCAGGGGTTCTGGCCGATCTAGGAGGCGAACGAGGCTGCGACCTCCTCCGTGAAGCGAGGGTGGACGCCGTCCTTCATCTCGTAAGGGGGGGGGGCGCGAAAGGATATGTAGGGGACCGAGGAGGACGAACACAGGCGGTCCACTACAAAAGAACCAACCAACATGGGTGATAGTCAATGGAATGAAAACCGCTAATTTGTAAACGAGGTGGTTGCGGGAGTGTTGGTGTTGAGCTCTGGTTTCATCTTTCGGATCAACAAAGATTCCGAGATAATGAGGTCTAGGCGGGAGGAATGGGAGGATAGAATATTGAAATCTGTGTTGAAGAAAGGAGGTGAGTGTTGGTGAGAGTGCTCTCTTATGGCCGAGAAAGATGGTCTGCTCAGCGGTACGAAATGACTTGCCTTTGTGTTCCATTATGCGGTGACATAACCATCGTGAGGTGGACCCCACGTACCTAACTTAGCAGTCAGGACAGGTAAATAGATATACAACATTAGAACACAAATCAAAGCGGGATCTCGTAGGCTGTTTTAAGAAATTACTGAATTACTGAAGACAAAAGTGAATTTTATTTGCGGGTATTCAAAGCTCAATTTCCCCATAAATAGTAGTATTACATATCTTTGATCCCATTTAACAGTTTTTTTTACAAAGAAAAGTCTTTGTTGTTTTATCAAATATATACAGTGGGTACCAATTACTTACAAAGAAGTAAAAAGAAGTACAAATTAATTTCATCATGAAAAGTGGACCAATTGCTACATAGATTATAGGCTCTAGTGATGAGCGGTTTTATGCTGTTGATTTTCTAAATGTATGAGATATTGCTGAGAAAGATATAATAAGTAGGTAGATATATCAGTAGTGATCCTTTTAAATTAGGATGTTAAGCAATTTCTGGTGATAGTCGAGTT